CCCCAAAACCCCAAAACCCCAAAACCCCAAAACCCCATAAAACTCAGCATTTATTGAAAATTATGCTTTATTCTTCCTACTTTTAATATGGAAGTAAGGGTAAGACACCAGCTTCGATTTTCTAGGTGAATTTGATGGCTCATTTTGGTCTTTCAACAGCTCCTAATGGGAATTATGGCCTAGAATACCTGCACGCTTGGGTTTCTGTATCTTTTACACCAAAAATTGGTCCTTCTCTTAGGCAAAACTAGGCAATTAAAATAACTGATTACCTTTATAGTACTCAAGATTTTCCATAAACGTATTATTCATTTTCTTATTTAATATTAGAAATGTGCTCGAATTGCTCCATTTGGGAAGGACTTTTCAGGTTGATTTTCTTGATCCTCAAGCCCATATTTTCAGCATCTCTATTAGATTAGAACTATTTCTTACTTATTCTGCGGTCTGTGGTCAAACGAAGCAGTCTGTTGGGCACTCTTAGCAGTCAGGTATCGTATAAAATCAGAGACATTAAATACCCCTTTCTCGAACTTCAGGTGGGTTAGTTCTTTTGCTAAGCCTTTTTGAGCCTACATATGCATTAAAAAGCCCCAATTATGGCTTGTAAAATCTCTGAATCTCTACTGGAACGCTTACTGAAGTAATCAATCATGCTTTGGATGCTATTTCAGTCTAAATAATTCACTACTGTGAGTACCTTTTAGGGGCGAACGAGGCATTGGAGAAGAGCTTTTAGTTCCGCTCAACAGTCCTCTCCCTTCTCTTCTCCTTTTTGATCGTTATAGATGGTGGACTTGGCAACCTACGATGATGATGAAACTTTACAAAGGGGATTTTCATATTTTCCTGCTCAAATTTGATGATTTTATTCACAGCTTCTTCTCTGTCTTTTTCATGTTCTTAGGAGTCAGACTAGGTTTCTTTCAAGGCTTCAGACTCGGATCCTTCTTACGGCAACTATACTGCTGGTTAAAAGTATACCGTTTCTTGGAATTAGCTATTGATTTTGAGCCAAGAAATTTTTCCATTTCATCCCCAAGATCGAATATCAGGTCTTAAGAGTTATTTCAAGAAGTCCTCACCATTATTCTTCGAGTAGCTAGAGTAATGCTTCGAGTCATCAGCTTGTTTATTTATTCACTGATTGGCTTCTTTGGGCTAGCTTATGGTAAATTACCTGATTTTTAATAAAAATGTGATGGAAATTTTAATCTAGAAGAGTCATAATAGACTCGAGAGCCTTACCAAGGTTGTAATGACTGATCCCAGCCGGGCTGAACGCCCGCCTGTGAATCTGAGTTGTCTTAGTGCTGATTGGTTTGAATAGTTTAAAGGCTGCTCTATTCTTCCAAAATTTGATATTTCAATTCTTCTATAGCAACTTTACTTGAAAGAATTTCGCAAAAATTGGGATATTAATAATGAAATTTACGCTCAAATCTAGTTTCTCAGACTCACACCACTGTGAGTATACAATGAGGTTACCTTCTTTGATTTCATTTATGTTATAATTCTATGAATTAGGAAATAATTGGGGTTTTGGGGTTTTGGGGTTTTGGGGTTTTGGGG